TTGTTGGCTTTTTTATGTTGTTGGCTGAAAGGAATGTGTTTGAAGCCAGTTAATTGGATTAACACTAAAGATGCGTGTGTGTGTGGATGTGTGTGTGGGTGTGGGTGTGTGTGTGTGTGTGTGTGTGAAACGAAATTCGATTTATGGACGAAATGATTTAATTGCCAAAATGCCATAGAACTGCAGCTGACAATGGGTTTGTTGGGGGCCATTTCTGAGTTCATTTGAAGATTTGGCCTAAAAGAGCGTTTTTCGAAAGCGCTTGAAACAGTTAAAATTACGTGAGTGGAGTTAACTTTTCTAACTTTCGAGGGAATCAATTTCCCAAAATGGTCAAAATGGCTCGAATCCCCAGGGCTAGTGTATGGATTAGGCATTGTCTAGACTAAAGGCCTTAATAGTTGCCAGTGCTATTCAATAAGTAATACGTTCAATAAATGAAAATCTGTAAAGATTTGAACCAAAGCAAAGGTTCGAACTGTGAACACGCCAACATTGTTGCTCCTGCAGTCTAACTAAGAAGTTGCGAGCCAAGCTGTAAGTAACTTATCAGGTGAATAAAAGCCAAGTTTAATCAAAAGAATTGCGTCCGTAGATTAAATAGATACAAATGTTGATGTGCAAATGATGTTAGCCTCATGATATTTGGCTGGTTCGCGGTCTGAAATTACAGGTATTTTGCGTGGAGCTCACCTTGTTGTCAGCTTTCACGTTTTTTGCTGTAATTAATTAAAGTGGCCAAGGCGAAATTAGTGGAAAAGGACGACCCCATGCTTTTGACTCAAGTGAATCAAAGTTCAACCAGCTTGTCTGGTAATTTGATCAGCTACTTTGCTATTGTGTTTGTTGTTGCTGTCGTTGTTGTTGTCGTTGTTGCTGCCGCTGGTTGCTTTTGTTTTAAGGACATAACACATTTTTCCACATTGTCGAGCTTTGTCGCAGGGATAATAAGTTAGGTAGCCGAACGGTAAGGTCAGGTAAGATTGGGGCTTCACACAATTGGCTTTGGTATTGCCTTTGCCTTTGCCTTTGCCTTTGGCTTTGGCCTTTTGCATATGGGAATCGGAATCCCAGCAAATGTAAACGTGGCTCAAGTCGCACGAACACACACATGTGTGTGTGTGTGTGTGTGCAGCGAAATAAAATTAGCTCAATGAGCATTTGTGCAATCAAGTGATTTTAAACAACAAAAATTGGGGGGACTGTAATCGAAGTTGAGCAGCAGCAACCCTCGGAGCCTCGAAAGGGTTGTTCCCGGGCTGTGGCAAATAAATTTCACACATATTTGCGCACTCACATGCACAACACATGTGCGTGCGTGTGTGTGTGTGTGTGTGTGTGTGTGTGAAGTCAATAACTTTTGCTGCAAGGTCGTCATCGTCTTGGTTGATTGTACTGAAAGGAATAAAACGAGTGCCCCCAGCCCCGGTATTGATGGGTACTGCGAGCATATGAAAATGCCGTGTTATGTATGCTTAATTTTGTCGAGCGCCCATTTAGGGGGCGGTGCGGAGGTTGGAGTTATCTGCATGTAAACAGGCGCAGGACATTGCCGACATTGTCCTTGCACGTGACTCATGCGCCAGCTTTGTGCTCACGGTCCTTGTTTGAACAAAAGGGTTGGCCGCTTGCCTCAGCCGTGGGTCTTCACACACACACACACAGACACACACATACGGAGCATATTGGTTTCTTGTAGTTGTGGGACTTCAGAATTTGGTTGCCCGGACGATTATTGCAGCACAGATCATTGGACAACAATTGTAAATTGATTAGAGCGACAAACTTGGCCATTTGATTCGGTATCAAGTTCCAGACCTGAGCAAACAAAGTGTTCTTTTCGCTTCCCTCGTGAGTCATGCCTTGCTGAACTAGTTCCCTAACTGAGCGGTCGATTTTGTTGGTTCCTTGTCCATGCAAACAGTTGGTTACGTTTGTTACTTCAAATATTGTGTATACCTTATGTAACTAGTTCAATTTTGTGAACTAAAATTCAGTTAAACGTCAAATTTAACTTGAAAACTAGATCAAAAAAGTCGACTAGTTCTCTTGGAAAAAACTAAGCTAAACTAGACCAAATAAGTTGGCTATTTTAGTCCAAATCTGGAACTAGTTCTCTTATAGATAAACTTGGATATTCTTTTAGGCTTGACATTCTTATGAACCAGTTCAAATGGCAGCTGCAGAAGAGCTTTGCTTCCTCTTGAGTTCCTGAAGTAGCTTTAAAGTGACTTTAAATTTGTGTTAATTTTTGGACTTTTGCCTAGAACACACACACACGCACACACACTGGCCTACATGCTGTGATTTGCCATGCCCAATGCATAACTTCATAATCATGTTTATGATCGTTATTATGTTTATTATTATCGCGGGTTACTTTCATTGCGTCGTTGCCTTTGCTTTCTTTAGACATTTTTGTCAATTCGCTGTGAACTCGCATCATTTGCAAGCAACGCGACCTGAAGCTGAATTGTTAAGGACCAAGGGCTGGGAAAAAGGCGAAAAGGGGGAAAAAGGGGAAAATGTGGCAACAACGTTAGTCGCATTTGCTACAACACGATTCCCCTTAACTGCCATGGTTTTTCTTCTCTCTCACAGCGTCTGGTTGAGCACAGCCGAAAAGGTAACCCACACCACAGACTACACACGCACACACGCAAACACACACACACACACATATATATTCTTATTTATTTCTATTTTTATGTGTCACACACGCCAAAGGAGCCACGCATTTTATTTTGCTGCGCATTTTCACTCCTTTTTTTTTGCTGCCACCCAACTCTGGCTCCGGTTCCACAGTCTAGTTCACCTTCAACTTTTTCAGCTCGTCCTTTCAGCTCCTTTGGCATTTTGCGCGCGGCACGACATTCTCCCAATTGTGTTATAAATTCAAAAATGAATAACGCACGTTTGCCTGTGGTTTAAAATTCTATTTCATTTTATTGCCATTGCCTGTGCCTTGTCACCTCCTGCCCCTGCCGGGCTGGCGGGCTGGCGGGCTGGCGGGCAGTCGGGCAGGTGGATCTAGTTCAGGCTCTAGTATGGCATGCTGCTGGGGTTTTTTTTTTTTTTTTGGCTTGGCATTTGGCTTGGTTTCTTTTATGAAAGGCTTTCACTTTTTCAACAGTCAACTGTATTTTATTCCATCTTTTTGGCTAAAATGACACACTTTTAGTCTCTTGTTTTCTTTCGTTTTCCAACACTCGCTCAATTAAAACATTTTTGCTCTGACATTGTGCAACTTGGCTTTGCCCTCATCCAAAAAACAAAATGGAAAATGAAAAAAAAACCAAAAACTGAGACTGTGTGACTCGAACTCACGAGACCTCGACTCGGACTTTGTGGCAGCACTCCGTCCTCCTCCCCTTCCCTCCCCTCCTTCGCCCAGCGTTGCACTGCCAGCTGCCACATATGTATGTATGTACATACATATATCAAAAGGCAGAGCAGAGTTGACTTTTTTTTGTGTGGCAAGCTCTTTTTTTTTTTGTTTTTTTAAAGCTGCTTAAAGAGTTTCTACTGCCTGCCCTGTGTAGATCGGAACGTGCATTCTGCGGTCTGCTCTGACATTTTTTATGAGCTTTACTCGGCTTCTTATTTTGTGGATTTATTTTCGCCCCGAAAAAATTTATTAGTCCAACGCGGCTCAATGTCTCACTGGCTTATTATTTATACATTTTTCTCTCTCTCTCTCTCTCCTCGTCTTTTAAGTGGCCCGCAAAGATAGTGTGCAGTCGGTAAATGTGTCACTGGTGATATGACAGCAAACAGTTGGCGAACTAGTTCCAAAAGCTGCTCCAAAATGTTGGCAATTATTTACTGCTAAACGGCAGCACTGAAAAAGTGTTCCCCTATGTACTATTTTCTGGATTACATTTGTTTTTTACATGCGAAAGCTGTTTTGTGAAAGTGAAAGGCAGAAAGTCCTGTATGGGCATAAAGTGAGCCAACATGGTGAACTTGTTCCAAGGAACTACTGTCTTTTTAATTTACATAATATGCTTTTTAGTTTTGTTTAGTTTAAGGTATTGTTAACTCCTTGGAGTACGACTGAGATGTTGATGAAAGGATTTATTTCGAGAGATATGTCGAGATAAACATAGAAATATATGTAAATATAAATATGTGCTATTATCAAGATAGATCGTACGATAAGCAAGCACTGTGAATAAAATATTAAAAATAAATTTAAATACTATCTGAGTATAAATATAAATATGTATATAATATCGAGTTACTTCATGTGAGCTGTCTCACTGAGATCTCTATCCAATCTTTCTCTCTCTCTCTCTCTCTCTCTCAATATATATATATATATATATATAGATTTACTATGTCGATGCAAGCACTATCTCGATGCAATCACTGTTTTGTCTAATTTCGGACTATACCAATCTGAAAATGGCATAATTATGCGTAACTTATGTTTATGGTTATCCATGCCATTTAAATGGACATCAATTGTGTTGAAAGTGCACTCGCATTGCGATTGCGTTTGGGTTTGCGTTTGCAATGGCCAACTGTCAAGCACAACGATAACAATAACACAAATATCAATCACGATTTCCAGTTGGGGATTCAATTAGGCATTCAGATATCGAAAGCTAATTGAGATGAACTTTGACATGCATTCAATTAGGTATGGATTTCGGCAGTTGGTTCCAGGCAAGCCAAAAATTTGACTTTAAAATATCAAATCTAAGATACGTATGTGTGTGTGTGTGTGTGGCATTGGCAGGCACTGTATAGTTAGTATGTCATATTTATATAACTCAATTTCTTACGCTTGATGAAACATTTGCATTCAACATGCAAATTTTACTTTGATGAGTTTTTCCTTTTTTCTACTGCTGCCTGCTGCTGCTGCCTGCTGCTTATTATTCCCTTTCATAGTGTATGCCAAAAGTGTACGCATGCTAATTAAATTGTTTTCCCAATGTACTCACTCTCTCTTTCTTTCTCTTTTTCTCTCCCTCTCTCAACTATGATTACAGCATTTCCATATTTATAAACACCCAAGCCGGGCGCACTTTGAACTGAAAATTTGGAAACTCAGCTTTTCTCCACTTGCTGGTAAGTTATGGAATATGCTTTAAAAAAGAACTGTCCATATTTGGGCGATTATCTTATAGCTATGTGGGTGTCTGTGCTTGTGTGTGTGTGCTGTGTGTGTGTGTGTGTGTGTGTGTGTGTGTGTGTGTGCACTTTGTTTATTTTACCGTTTTATCAAAGAACATCACAACAACAACAACATCAGAAACTTATTGGAATTTAAAAATGTCAGCATTGACATGCGTTGAAAGCGTTGACAGTTTCCATATACCCGCTGCCCCTCATCACAGTCAGCAGCAACAACAACAGCAACAACATTTGGCTAAAGGGCCCTCTGTTTTTATATCAGTTTTATTGCGTTTTATGTCGCAGCAAAGTCAACCAAAAATCGGCTTAAAAATTCAAGAGCAACAATCCAAAAGATGCGTATCATGTGGCTTTTATGCGGCTGCCGCTAGCGTAAGGCATGCCCCGCATTCCCCACTAAACTCCACCTCATGCCACCGCTCTCCTCCACTAGCTCCCGCTCCCTCTCCCTTCTCTCCCTCTCTCTCTCTCTTTCGTTTCAGCTCAAGATTTTCATTTTCTATTTGATAAAGTGTCGCTGGACAAAAGTTGAGAAGCTGCAAGCGTTTTTCCTCGTAACGTTTGCCCATGCTCCCTTTCTGGCTCCCACTCGCTCCCTTTCTCTCTCCCGCTCTCGCTTAAGATACGCATCTCAGCAGCTTGTTGTGCGAGTGTGTGTGTGTGTGTGTGTGTGTGGCATTTTATTGTCATTGTGGCTTTTTGGGGCTCGGTGACTTTTTATTATTATATTTTTTTTTTTTTTTTGGATCTCTCTTTTGTTAGGCCCAAGTAAATCAGTCAGCGACGGCGGCCGCATCGGCCAAAGATACAGATACATTTACAGATACAGATGCAGATACAAATGTATTCGTAATTGCGTGCAGGCCGTGCAGCTGCCTCGACGACGTCGTTTTGTTTATGATTTGTCAAGATTTTAATCCCCGAAAATGTGTTTTAAATTGCAGCGCCTACGATAAGAATTGGGGCAGGGGCAGGGGCAGGGGCAAGGGCAGGGGCTGCGGTCGCGGCGGCGGGAGACGTGGGCTCTCGACAGAAGATGGAGTCAACGCAAAACGCATCACAAGCTGAGAAAAAAACGAAACTGAAAATAAAACCTGAAATGTTGGCCAAGTAAAAGAGTTGCTTGTTTAGAGCAGTGTGCGGGAGGGGCGGGGAAGGGAGGGGTGGGGCAACGGGGTAACGGGGCAGACATATGGCGTCCATAATTCGAAAGAAAGACGAACTGGCTGCGTGGGGAGTGCTAATAAATTCACCTTTTACCACAAAATATTGCCAACATTTGCAAAAGACAAACAGCTAAGCCCGGTACACACACACACACACACACACACACTCACACACACAGTCTTGTGTGTGGCTGTAATGTGTGGGCGGCATGGCAGCATAAATCTATCTCCTGTAACTGCACCCACTCCCCCGTTTCCGCAGCCCTCGCTGCCCTGCTCGCTGACTTCTGATTGAGCAAAAGCTCCGACAACGTCGTCTGCCCGTCCGTGCGTCGCCCCCTCCCCCCACACGCCTGCCCCCGCGTCTGTCTGTCCGTCCGTCTGGGTGTTGATTTTTGTCAACCTAATACAAAGCGCAAACAAAATTTGTGTTGGCATTTGGTTAGATTTGCCATTGCTTTGGTTTTTCCTCTCTTTTTCTTTTTTTCCTCCTTTTTGCTTGTTCAAGGGAAAGCTGTAGGAGGGACACGAGCAAAAAATTGTCTGCGTGTGCGTGTGCGTGTGTGTGTGTGGGTGTGTGGGTGTGTGGGTGCGGAGTATTAGACTTAATACCAGCTAAACAAGAAGAATAATATGAGAAAAACCAAAGTGTTGCAAAAGGATTGTTTTCTTCTATAAGAGGAGCATATTAGGCAAGTGCTTGTTCGGACTGTGAGCAAACGAAAAAGAGACGACACACGGTTATGCGAATCATATTATAGATAATATATATCTGAAGTAAACGTAAGAGAAAAAAAAAACAAGAAAATATTTATCTCAGAGAAGGAATACTCAATAAGTAAAATGGTTCTCCTCCGACTGGGAGATACCCCGAAGCTACTTCTATCTAAAACATAACGCGCTCTTTCTTAGGTTCAAATCAAATCTGATCTTTACGTGCCAAAGAAGCACCTTTTTTATCCTCTTTTCCCGCTTTCAATGGGTTCTGGCTATAATTGAGAAAAGGGCATTGATCACATCAATTGATTTTTGCATAAATACAACTGCAATTATATCAATAGATCAGCCACGTGGACTGCCAATGTGACCACACGTATTTTTAAATAACTTCTACAGTTATTAACCGAATTATTATGAAACTTGCCGCAGTGGATCTTCATGTGCTATAGAATAAAATGCATTACATTTTGTTAAATGTTAAGCTAAAGTTACAAAAAAAAAAACTATCAAAGTTTGCTTCGAACAGCCTTCATCTTATATAACCTCACATCTGTATACCGTATGCAGCGTACGGTATTTGCATTTAAAGTTATATTTATATTTTCCGACGTTTAGTATGGGAGCATTTATTTATTCAACTGAGCCATTCACTCATTCAATGTTGACGGTAGAACAAACTTGTGTGCTCGAAAATATAACGAAATTAAATATAAAACATTGCCCGAATTTCGCTTTCATTAATTAATTGTTTCGCTATTGCTGTTATTGTTGCCGTTGTTGCCGTTGTTGTTGTTGCTGCTGCTGCTGACTGTGGCACATTCCATGTATCAGCTGTTTCGCGTTGCCAAAACTTCCACTCGAGCGAGCCACTTGCAGCTAGAGTGGCCCCAACAAGTGCAGCAACAGCAACAGCTACCGCTTCACGCGATGTATGTTAATTAAAGTCATTATGTAGAGGATGCCTGCTGGGAGCTGGATGCAGGCGGCAGGCAGCAGGCGGCAGGCAGCAGGCAGCGGGCAGCTGCTAGGTGGCATGCCCCTAATGAAATGCCTCTGCCTGTGGCACCGCTGCGATCCTTGTCATGGCCTGCATTACGGCTGCAGCTTCAATTGGTCGGCCAAATTGGCCAATTTTCATATGCATGATGCGATAGGGATAGGGCTCAAGGCGAATGGGAAAGCTGTCATGAATGAATGAATGAATGAATGAGCAGCCTGTTTGAATGGGCGACTGCATGAATGAGTGCGTGAATGAATGACAGCCAGCGTCGCTTCGAGTTGACAACAATGAAATTTTCGGGCCATAGAAGCTTCATTGGGATAGTGGGGTATGGTGGGGGTGTGGTGGAGGTGCTGCGTGTGCCACGTGGCAGCAGAAGGCATTGTCTGACCTAACGAAACATGCCACATGCCACATGCCGCATGCCGCATGCCGCACAGCAACTGTGCAGCAGCGAATTGAAGCATGCGTTTGGGCTTTTGATTTTTGAGCGCGTTCGTCTTCTAATGATGTACAACATGCACAAAATGTGTTAATGAGCCGCACGCTCGCTGACAAGCAGCAGGGAGAGAGAGCGAGAGAGCGAGAGGTGAAGGGAGCGCAAGAATGAGCTGGCAGCAACTGTGCTTAGCTAATGAGTTCTCCCTTTGCCAAACCTGTTGCGCTTGTTACCACTTCTGTTCCTCGTTGGGTTAAGCTTTCCACATAGATCTCGACACACGGCAATTGCATCGGCAATTTGCAGCAATTTGCTTAGCTGCAGCTGCCGCCTGCCGCCTTCATGTATCCATACAAGATACAAGATACTAGCTACGAGTTGAAACACACATGCACACAGCTGCTGCTGCTGCAGCAGAAATACAAACAGAAAATGAAGAAAAATAACACAACTTCAAATCAAAGACATAGCCTTGGCTAAATTGCTTCGCCCAGACGCCCACACACACCCAACCCAACCACACGGCGGCGGGCAGTGGGTGGGCTGGTGAGCTGGTGAGCTGGTGAACTGGTGTCTGGCAATCAGGCCAAGTCTGAATAAAAAATGGGCACCAGAGCGAGTCCATGCACGTTCCCAGTCAAGTGAGTCGCTAGATAATCGATTCAAATCAATCGATAATTGGAATATCAAAATTATTATTGCTATTAAAATAACAATATGGGTAAAGCCAATTAAATATCTGCACAAACGCGTCGTTAGTAGTATTTTCTATCGAACCTTTTCTATGTTTATTTCGATCAACATTTGACAGAGATAACATATAGAGTATATATATTTTAAATTTCTCTCTTCTGCCATTTACACAACTCTAATATACGCATTTTTCAAGAGTTTTAATGGGTACGAGGCTTACAAATATGACTACGAGAATGAGAACAAATACAATTCAATTTTTAGTAATTAGGATATAATTAAATAAAAAACAGTATTATTAGCACATCTAGATGAATTATAATGAACTTGAATTTAAGAATTACATGATAGACTACAAGAATAAATTCCAATTCGCAGAATAAATTAACATTCACTGCGAAAAAACTTATATTTCAAATACCGCCCTACTATCCAATTCTCACGAATTATGCATTTATCAACATGGCACTACTATGCGATTCTCAGTAAAGCAAAAATAACGTAATCTTTAAAGATCGCCCTACTATGCGATTCTCATGGATTCAAGTGAACTTACAGACTTTAATGCGTTGTGTTGGCAATCTCGTTCTTGTGTGTGTGCACGTGTGTATATATGTGTGCATTCAATTCTCTTCCGCAATATGCAGCAGAAAGTGTATAAGTTTTTACATTTTTTAATTGCGCTTTGAAGACTTTTTCTGGTGGCAGCTGCCAAAGGACAATCATATTATATTGAGCAAAAGTTAAATAAATATTCCCTTTAAATAAATACTGCTTATTGGCTATGCGAGCTGGCACTTCAAATGTGTGTTGCAAGGCGCCAGGCAAAAATCAATTTTCCACAGGCATCTCAATTATCCATGCCACATACATGTATATAAATATATATATATATATATATACATATTAGGGCAATGTTTTTAGTATTTTAATTGAAAAAAATCATTTAACTGTGTAGTTGCAGCCATTTCCAGCGCGTTATATCACTTAGTTTGAACTCGTTTTTTTGCTGTTGCTGTTGCTATTTTTTTAATCTTCAACATGGCCAAACTCAATCAGCCAAATCAAAATGTTGCCTGCAAATAAACGCCAATTGTTGTTGCAGTTGCTGCCGCTGTTGTTGTGGCAGGCGCCCATAGACGACCACAAACAACTCGTTAAAATTTGCATGTGAAATGCAATCGCCTAAAACTGGAAAATAGGCAAAACAAAAAGACAAAAAAATTGATGTAAAAAAATCCAAAATATTGCTGAAAAAAGTCGAATAGATGTAGCAAATACGCGCGCACGCAGTCGGCCACACAAAACTTTGCGAGTGTTGCAACATCGCATGGAATGGGGCATGGGGCATGGGGATGAGCAGTGGGCGCGGCTGCTTTGGGGGTGGAGGCTCCAGTGAGCCAACGGGCTGGCCAGCTGCTGCTGCTGTTGCTGATGCTGCTGCTGCTGCTGCTGCTGTGTGGCTAGTGCAGTAATAAAAACATCTAAACAACATTTTTGGCCATGCCACACGGCTATCAATTTGATATATCAATCAGCGTGGGAGAAAAATGATTGCCAGTTGCTTGTTGTTGTTTGTAGTTCGTTATTGCCGAGCATTGAAATCGAAATGCCCAAAAAATAACACCAAAGAAGGGCTACTCACAGCATGCCGCCAATTAAATACACTATTTCATAGCCAGAACTGCCAAAGCCCAATTCCTAACCGATTGTTTCCAAGGAAACATTTTGATACACAGGTTCGAAAGTATGATTCAAGTAATTCCAGAGATTAGTTTAAGTGAGAGATAATTCCTATGATATACTTTTCCGATCCGGCAGGTTCCGACAGACTGAGAGACCAGACTGAGAGACCAGCTTGCATAGAAACTGACTTTATGCCAATCAAAAGAATATGTACACTTTGTGTATTTCGTAACCATCTGCATTTATGTGCTACACGTTTCATGCCTATGCTGTAATACCCACGGCTAGGGTATTAAAAGAAAAACAAATAATAATGAACAGAAAAAAAAAAAAATGAAACTAACAATAACAAGAAATCTGTGGCGAGTGCAACATTCAGTTGAGCTGCAAGAACTCAATAAAAAGAGAAGCAAATTGCAGCGAATTTCAATTGCCTGTGCGGCATTTGCAACTTGGCCTTGGGGCAAGTTCTGTGCGGCTGCCTCAAGGATTAGCTGCTGTGGCTGGGCGCTGGCTGGACGGATCGCTGGTTGCGCTGCCAGTGGCTCATAAAGGGGATCTGCGCCCAGTGCTCTGATTGATTTATGGCCACGCTCATAAAAGTGGGCGGCCAGCGGGTAAAGGGATTAACAGCGGGTGGGTGCGGACCAATGCGAAGATAGAACGGATCTCAGTTTCGGCTCTGCTATCAGTCACACACGCACGGAGAGAAGAATGAAATGAAGAGTGTGCGCTCTCTGGTCAGCGGAGCAACGACTGCCGGTTACCCTGTAAACTGCTCAACGAAAGAAAACCTCAAACAATGTGCAAAGAATACAAGTGAGGAAGCATGTATCTTAAAAGTTATATTTCTTTTATTAAAATCCTATCTAAATTGTGGCTTGCAAGTTTAAATTAGTTTAAATTATTCAACAAGTTCGATAGTCGATAGTTTTCAGCGTCAATGCTATCGATACTTTTAAATACTTCGAATTTAAATTTAAATATATTTTATATATTTGTCTTTAATTACCTTTACTAACAATGGCAAATTAGTTTATCGATAACAGAGTCATTGTTCTCGATAGACTTTAAATATATTTAAATATTTCTTATTTTTTTTCGAGTGATGTTAGGCTTCAGTTCTCTTTTTATTATTATAATTTATTAGAATAAAGTTGGAAACTGCTGCAGCTTTCATTTATAATCTTCATGGCAAGCTACAAATACACCTTAGCTGCTAGCATTCACAGGGTATAAAAAAACTTTGCCTTCGCTCGTCGCCTGTTAATAGCTTTAATGCTGTTTTATGGCATTCGTCGAGTGGCCAGCTATGGAACTGTGAGCTGGGAACTGGGAACTGCTAGCTGGGAACTGGGAAATGGCATGCCAACGCCAAATGTTTTACATGCGTGTTGTTGTTGTTGTTGTTGTTGCGGCGGCAACAATGTTTTGTTTGGCGGTCGCATAAATAAATTGGGATTGGAGTATTCGCTGGCTCAGTGCCGGCTGCTTCGGTGCCGGAGCAAAGCTCATAATTCCAGCTTTTATTTGTGGGATTTTGGCATGGCATGTCAGTCATGTGTCGGTCTGTTTCTGTTTCTGTTTCTGGTTCTGTTTTGGGCTCCGGCTGTGTGTGATACCCCATCCGTACCATCCGCCCGCCCGCATGCGCATTCGTAACGCTTTCAATTCCAACGCTGATTAATGGCTTAGTTTGCTCTCTCTCACTCTTAACTCCCCTTTTCCCCTTTCCCCTTTCAGATGATGCGCTTTGGCAGCGCTTGAGAAACGTCAACGTCATTAGGGAAGCCGACTGCGATTGCGATAGCGATAACGATAACGATACCACCGCGATACTAGCCAGAGCAGCCGACAGCAGCAAGATGTATCCAGGCAGCGCTAGCAGCACCACCACCGCCGCCGCCGCCGCCGCGTCCAAGTTCCAGAATCGCTGCGCATCGCCACAATTTGCCAGCTTTGCGCCACCACCGCCGGCAGATTATCCGCCGCCAACATTGCAGCAGCAGCCACATCAGCAACAGCAGCCACATCAGCAACAGTTGCAGGCACAGACCACTGCGGTGGCGGTGCACAGCGCACCCGGACATGGCTCCATGCGGCACATTCAGCGCAATCAGCTTACTATGAGTGGACACGGACTCGGACACGGACATGGCATGGGCCACGGCCATGGACACGGACACGGCCACGGCCTTGGCATGGGCATGGGCATGGGCATGTCCGGCATTGGACATGGCGCCGCCACGATGGGCCATCATCATGGACATCGCGGCGATCTAATCTTTCCGGACGACATGGACAGCATTGAGTTCTGCATGCCGGCACCGCCCTCGTCCTCCTCATCGTCCTCGCAGCAAAACGGGGAGCTAATGCTGCTCCAAGGCGGCCACGGCGAGCCCTTCACGGAGCGACGACGACGCGGCCACAGTCGCCGCAGCAACCACAAAATGGATGTGGAGCAGCAGGTAAGAAGCGAGCATTAAACAGAAAAGTTAGCTGAGAAGCAACAGAATTTAATACAATTAATTGCATTTAAATTCTATATATGAAAACTAAACTAAAATCAAAGAGAAGTGCTTCACAAAATAATTAGAGCTGATATATATAATATAAGACGTCCCATTAAAATGTTGGACATCGCCTAAAATTAATAATCTGAATCAATCTAAAAAGCTAATCTCATGTTCTCTTCTACTTGGATCTGCAGGTGAAATGGTCACGCAAGAACATCGCCGCCACAATGGAGCGCTTCGAGCCCACCGCCAACACTCAGTCCTCGTCGTCCACTTCGTCGTTGGACTATGGCTTCGCCGCGGGCGTTATGACGCCCAGCAGCAGCAGTGCCACGCCCTCGCACGGCGCTGGCTCAGCAGCTGGGCTGTCCTCGACGCCCTCGCTGCATGTGGCCTACAATGGAGCCGGCTCGGGAGGACTCGGTGCTGTTGGTGCTGTGGGAGCTGTGGGTGCTGTGGGTGCTGTGGGTGCTGGTGTGGGCATGGGCGCCGGTGGAGCAGCTGCAGCTGCTGCCGCCGCACCGTTCAATCATGTCTACTCCTACGCATACTATGAGCCCGGCGCGGCCAAATGCCATACGAATGTGCCCGCTCAGGGTCAGGGCAACGGGCATCATGGACCGTCGAAGAGCCCGCCGCGCAACTCGATACGCGCGCTGTTGGCCAAGAGCTTCCGCTCGAAGTCGTCGTCGCACAGCGGCCAGTCGACATCGTCCTCGCCCAGCGCCGAGGAGCGGGACAGGCACACGTACACCACACGCTACGGCACCACCGAGAATCTGTACGAGGAGGTGAGCGATCAGAAGATTCGCAAGGTGCTCTCCGACAACCGCATCGCCACGTCCAGTGCGGGCAACGTCAAGGAGGAGCTGCGTCGCGTCCAGCACAATCATTTCCGTGTGCTCGACGAGCTCAATCTGTCCCTGGAGGCGCTCATTATGCCGCCCACGCCACCGGACATCAGTCCCAGCCATGGCGGACCGGCCAGCGCCAGCTCCAATGATGTGCAGCACGACTCGCTGCCCGCCCCCAGCAACAGCTGCAGCAGTGGCAGCGGCAGCGGCAGCGGCAGTGGCAGTGGCAGTGGCAGTGGCAGTGGCAGCGGCAGTGCCAGTGCCAGTACCAGCGGTGCCGCCGGCAACATATCCTCCGCCCAAGCCAAGAACGTGCTGACCACAAGCCAGCGACCGCGTCGCGGTGGCTTGCTCGGAGGTGCCGCCGCCAGTGCTGCGTCCAACTCGAGCTCAGCCTCGCACGCCAGCCTCGAGAATCTGTCGAGCACCTTGAACAGCATGGAGCTGAAGGATCATGCCCATAGCAGCTGCATCAATCCGGAGTTCGATGAGGGTGACCTGGACAGCGGCTTCAGCGGCAGCGGCAGCAGCAGCGGTGCCAGCTACAATGAGAGCTTGCGCTATTATAAGACGGCCACGCCCACTAGCCATAGTCACAGCCACAGCCACAGTCATAGCCACAGTCATGGGCACTCCGCACACAATCCCAATCTGATGCCCCACAACAACAACAACAACAGCAACAGCAGCAGCAACAACAACAACAATAACCATATACACACCACCACATTGCCGCACAATCTGCGCAGCTGTCGCTCCTCGACAGCCTCCGGCACCTCGACATCCAAGAGCAGCATGGCCAGCTGTGGCGAGGATCAGGGCATTGCCGGCATGGGCATGCCAATGGCCATGGGCATGAGTGGCATGGGCATGGGCATGGCCGTGGGCATGAACTCTGGCATGGGCGTGGGCATTAACGCCGCCGCCATGGGCATGGCTGGCATGGGTGGCATGGGCGGCATGGGCGGCATGGGCATATCGGAGACGGCTGGCGGCAGCTCAATGTCGCCCTTCAATTATCCACGCCGCTGCTCGGCGGATCAGCAGCGTGCCTCCGGGCGTTCGATTGCCTCGGCAACTGGTTCCGCAACGGGCCCCTCCATCACAATGGCCACCGGCGCGAAACCCAAAAAGAACTTCTGGACCATGAAACCGTGATGCTACAAAAAGGCCCTGCGTCACATATGCAAGAAATGGAGCATTGTTATGGTGAGTACTGAGACTATTAATATTAGATATAAGTTCAATCTACTTTTTTGCAATGTTCCTAGCTGTGATAGTCCTGTAAACTGGGTTGGAACTAAGCCGGTTCAAACCTAGTACTTCACTTTTTTTTTTTATAATATTAACCAAACTTTTAAGCACAGACGAATCAAAAAGCGTAACGTAGAATATTATAGATAAAAGTCACCAAATGCAGAAAGTTGGCTCAAACCGTCAACTGAACCAGCGTTTTTTCTTTTTGTTTGTAGCCCTGATTCAAATAAAATGATTTTCAATTTGAGAAGATTTCAAATGACCCAGAAAGCTCTAGGAAATATTTGGTATTAGTTTACTTTACTATTCGTGAGGTCTGCAAAAGATATTCAAGAACTATTTGAAATGAAATGTAACATTTAAATTGGGCTATAAAGCCTGAGGAAACTCTAGGCACTTGCTTGCTGTACGCTTATCGAATTGTTTGTATTTCGTTTTCATCGACTTTGAATGGGATTTGGCTGGAGTCATTGAAATATATTATTAGAAAGTTCTATATATATCGCATAGAAGCAGATATCTTTACGTAAGAGCTCAGATATGCTTAATAAAAAGATGAATATCTCCAGCCTTTTAACGTATATCTGCTGTCAGCTTGTTAGCTAAATCTGATTGCTTGGCTTTTACTAAGTTGCAATGCTGCCATCTATTTTCACTTAGAGCGTCCTTTTATATTTTGCTTAAATGTTATCGTTATCGTAATCGTAATCGTTATTATTATTATTTTTTATGTGCCACATCTCGTTTTTTTTTAACGCGCCCTCACTCACCACCCCGCAGCTTGTTGTCTCTAACTGTTGCAGCATCAATTTCAACTTTTCAACTTTAATCATAATAAATATGCGGCCTGGCCCAGACTCGGGCTCAGGCTCAGGCCCAGGCCTGGGCTTCAGTTCAAATCAACGAGGCACTTCCGCTGCCGCTGCCGCTGCTTCTGCCGCAGTCAGCGTCGCTTTAGCCACTCTCGCATATTCCCAAGATAATAAATTTATTAACAGGCAGCGCGGCAGCTACTGAAGCATCATCATTATCTGCAGCGGGCGGCGGGCAGCGGGCAGCGTTCTCCGCCCTCTCTTCGCCGCACAACCCCGAAATGAATCAATTAAAACTGATTGAACTTCATAGATTTGTTTCATATTTTTTGTGTGTGTGTGTGATTTTTTTTTTAATTTCACTTGCAACTGAATCTGGGGTAATGCCGGATTCGGACTCGGATCCGGACCGCATCATCTGCCGCTGCTGCTGTGGGCTATGTGGGAACTTGTTTGCACAGCCCGAAGACACACACACACACACGCGGGCATAAACATATAAACATGCCCCCATTTTCTTGGTCTGCCGCAGGGATTATGAGTGTCATATGTGTGTGTGTGTGACCGGCCATTAAGGCGCCTGTTGAAATCGAAATCCCAATATCAGCATTTAAAGTCTTACGGCCTAAGATGCAATCCTCTGTGCTCCATACTCAATATGCTATTTTGCCGGCTATCGATTTTCCTCTCGCCCAATTTCTGGCTCGGAATTCCCAATTCAGCGAGCGCACCCCTTGTGAATAATGTGAATAATGCTGTTATTCATTGCATTTTGTTATAAATCTGTCAATTTGCACAATTGTGCGTGTGCTTTGTGCATTCGACAGGGTCGCTGCAGAAGCGAAGCGGACGTTTGCCGTAACCGGGACGCTGACGGGGACGGGGACAGGGACGGAGACGGAGACGGGGGCGGCTTTGTGGCATGAGGGTGAACCAGACACTCGACACTTGCGTGAGCAGCAGAAACGAACGAAGACTCACAGACTCGCAAGAGGCTGATATATTTTTCGGGCTGCATCCGCATTAGCATCCGCATCCGCAAGCCGCACGTTTTCGGGCACCATAAAAAATCTGTTGCAAAATGCGACTCTGTTGTTGCTGCTGCTGCCGTTGTTGTTGTGCGTGTGTTGATTTATAGTCGCAATTGGGCTGAGGCGCAACTAATTTGCCTCGAGTGCTAAGTAGCATGCGAAACAGGGAGACGACAGCCAAAAGCATGTGAGTGCAGCACCACATGTGTGTACGTGTGTGTTTGTGTGTGTGTGAGTGTGTGTGTGAGTGAGCGTGTGGGAGGATGGGTGGGTGCTTGTGAAGTGTAAGAAAATCTATTGGTAATAGTTAAGCGCGATAAAGATACATATTTTTACGCAACGCGTAATACCCATCGAGTCATACTCAAAAAATACTCATTTGTGTGGTTGTGTGTGTGTGTATGTGTGTGTGAAAAGAGGCCTGTTAAATGGCATAAACTGTATTGAGAATCAATTCAACTCACTTTGGATTAAATTGATATGCATTTAACGCGCAATACTTATCGAGTCATACTCATAAAGTACTTATTCGAATGAGTGTGTGGGTAAGCGAGAGTGGTTGGCTGTGAGCTTGTGAAATGGCTTAAAATGCAATGGGAATTCGGTTTTTTTTTAATTAAGCTTACTCTAGTGATATTTCCATTAACATATCGCAGTAAATACATTGATACTCATAAAGTACTCATTTGATTAACACTCAAGCGCTCAAGCATGTGTGCGTTAAATAATGTAGACTTTATTGCAATAGAGTTCGGTATAGCTTACATAAATTAAAATGCATATTACTTGCAACACCTATCGAGCCTTACTCATAAAATACTCATTTTGCAACACTTTTGGTTGGCTTGCAATCTGTCAATTGTTATGCGCATTCACTTGCATTCGCTGCATTCGTGTGCTGTTAATTGAATATTCAATATCCAACACAACTACGCTCTCATACATTATTCACTTGGTTTGAGTCCATGCGAGCATCGAAAATGCGCACAGAATGATCTTTCATATTCAAGTGCATTCATTTTGCAACAAAATGTGAATGATTCTCATTCACATGCCACAGGCCGCAGGAGCACGGACACAGGATGCGCACATGTGTGTACTTCATTCCCTTCCTCACTCGCGCATTTTTTTTTATGTCTAATCCAGCTTAACTTGATCTGAAAACGATTTGTGTACATTTTGACAGCAGTTGTCGAATGTTTCACTCAATCTCAATCTTTCTCCCTCTCTCTCTCTCTCTCTCTCTCTTCGGCTGACTTTCTTTTTTTAACTTTTGTGCCGTACGGCAACCCTGACGACCCACAAGCCGCGCGGCTCACTTGAAAATCGCTTAAATGTTGCCAAATCGCTCGTAACCAGCAACAAGAACAGCAACAACAAAAACAACAACAACAACAACAATGAAAGAGGCTAATAAAGCAAAACAGCAATTGGGGGCGAAGGCAGTGAGAAAGAGAGAAAGCGAAGAGGAGCAGCCAAAAAGGCAACTCAAATGAAATCAGAGCCACATCAAATGCCAAACGTCTGTTCGCAAATATGAAAATGGATTTCAAATGGATTTGAATGGACTTGGAGCAGCGCTCCTCCAGCCGCAGACCCAAGACCCAGGCCCAGAATGAGTCGGAGCCGGACACTGGCGGACATTTGCGGCATTTAAGGGGCCACATATGCAGCAAATCGGACGTAAACATTCACTTAGCCATAATAAAAGAAATGAGAAAGAAAATGAACGGCAAAGCATTTCGATTGCAGCGGGAATAAAATGGCAACACCAAGAACAACAACAAAAGCACTTGTTTAAATTTGTCAGTTGTAGTTTTGTAGTTTTCAAATATTCCTTTTTGAATCAGGGGTACTCTGATTTTCTCACACAATCTGACAAATTGTGAGCTTCTCCTAATGTGAACCAAATAGAAACCTGAGCTAAATATCATTAGATGAACAGAGAACAGTCGAAACTGAACTGAGTCATATTCAAAGAAGAACATATTTAGTTTTATAAAAATATAAATTATATATTTATATACATATATAATATATAATTATAATTAAGTGAATGCTGAAAAACTAAACTAACGAGTTTTGGGTTTGGTTTGGGCTTCGGATCATGACAGTGTTATGTTATATTAAAGCAATCAAATTGACGCATATATTATGTGAGGGTATTGAATATTCGCCAATCTAAAGTTAGACGTTTGTGCAGGTCCGTTTTTCTATTGCTGTTTTGTTTGCCAAATTCGACGCACAAGTTCCCAGTTTCGATAAGCAGCTCGAGGCATGCAGCGATTGTTGGAAATGTTCGAAGCTGGAGCTGGCGACTCTAGAGTCTTGTCTGGCTGGCGAGATTTAGCCATGCTGATTAAAATTGAATGATGGCCAGAAGGACAGCGACAGCGACAGCGAGTGACATAGAAATTGCTATGGCTAAAGTGAGCGCAGATCCACAAAAACTGGCACTGGCCAAGAGCGGGGTGGTACGAGGGCGAGGGGGGGGGGGGGGGGCGAGGGAGGCATGCGATTGGTATTGGGCTTGGTTTAGTTTGGTTTGGGCAATGGCCGTCATGCCCTTCAACAATTACACACAAGCACACACACACACACACGCCCAAAGTAACGAAAAAAGAAACCTTAACCCACTGATGGCGCCCCAAACGAAGCCGGAGACATAACATAATAAATTTGCAGACAAGGCAGCGCTTCGCTATCGGCACAGTGGTTCCAGGGTCAGCAAACAATTGGCAGCATGTGTGAGATTTTACTAAGTATATCATTTTTGTATACTTACAAATAGCCACAGCTTGATGGGAGGATATTGTTCATGATAATATATAATTATATAATATACAAATATTTGTGCTTGCATTTTTGCATGGCCTGGCACCAGTGTGCACTGGCAGGGCGCCAAGAGCCCAGACGGAATGGGAACTCGCTGGAGCAAGGACACGTTGCTGGGCCGTGAAGAAAGGGGGCTGGGGTGAAAGCGGACAATGGCAAGCGTAGCGCAATAACACGAGGGTGGCTCAACGGTGGCTCAGCGCTTGGTGGTTGCTGCTGCTGCTGCTGTTGCTGTTGGCGTGACATTGTCAGCCTTGGACTGGAACTGCGCCTG